CAGTAAATGCAAGGGAATACAAAAGTGCCAGCAATTATAATCCTCCTACTCTATGTGTTTGGTACTTTAAAGCAACAGTGGAAACGGTGAAAGACTGACTGGCCACGAGAACCTCAAAAAAATGTTTCTTTTTGCTGAAGAATAAACACCATGATCTATGAGAGAAATTTTTTTGAGTTATAACTGCTGCCTCTGAAGTTGTGCAGAACTGCTTCCCTAGCATCTGATGTGTCACCATTATCATTAGTATCTGTCGGGGCTGTTACAGATTCTGATTAAAAAAAAAAAAAAAAAAAAAAAAGGAAAATGGCAGCACAGCAGAAGTCCTTCTGCTTTTGAAATTGGAGTTTAACAACTCCTGTGAACTGTACTTTATTGCTGTCAATGCAGGCAAATATTTGCTGCACATTATTCCAGCAGTCCTACGGCTGGCTCCTTGCTTCTGACAATAGGTCCCACGTATAAACCTAGCCTGTCCTTAAACCAAATATTTTGAACTCAGAAGTGCTCATTTTGGGGTAATTTCGATAAAAGCCTCCTGAAAACTTCAGGGGTTTTTTGATCCCTTGGGTGTTTCAGCTATAGATAGGAACTTCTGCTCCTGAAGCACTCCCTGACTTCAGCCATAGCCAAGCAAACCAGTAAAAGGAAACCTCTTCACACTGTACTCATTTTACTGCTTTTCTATTTGATAAATAGAAGAGTACAAGCCTGTTAGCCACAGAAGTTTTACAAAAACTGAGTGCAGGGTCACAGTAACTGTTAACCTCTGCATAGATACTATCAGGGCAAATGTGCCACGGAAACCTCACGTGAGCCCTCTGCACATGAGCAGAACCTTGCCCTAAAACATGTGCTGTGATGAAACTTGTAAAACATTCCAATAAGATCAATTAACAGAAGCTTGTTTGTGGCAGAAATGAAACTTCAAAAGTGGGTAGCTATGGAGTCATGAATGGCAAGATCAGAAAAAGAGTGGAAGTCTAAAGAGTGAAGATTTTTATTGAGAGAAGCATACACAGAACAGGGCAAAGGTAACAATTTAACACTTTTTTGCAGTCCTATCATGCCACCCACATCCTCATATTTATTGCTAGAAAGTATCACACAAATTGTCTGAGGCTAATACAGCCTATTTGCTGAAAACTACTGAAACTCATGCTGAAGCCCAGTGGGCTGATGCCATTGAATACTAAGAGGGGCTTTGGATTGTTCAGTGCATCATGGAAAGGATGGATTTTTTTCATTAACATTTTGCATAGTCATTTACACCCACAAAAGATTAATATATCACACTGCTTTTCCAACTTAACCTTGTTTTTCACTCATTCTGCAAAGGCATAAATGATGGTGCATGCTGAAGGACAACTAGAGGAACAAGCCCTTTACAGAATCACAGAATGACAGGGGTTGGAAGATGCCTCTGGAGATCATCCAGCCCAACCTCCCTGCTAAAGCAAGACACAAGAACATGTTCAGGTGGGTTTTGAAAGTTTCCAGAGAAAGAGACTCCACAACCTCTCTGGGCAGCTTCTTCCAATGCTCTGTCACCCTCACAGAAAAGACATTTCTCCTTACGTAATAACAGCAGATTTAGGATATGTGTTCCCTCCTGCACTAAAGTTAGTGGCTCTCTTTCTATAGACTCAGGAGCTCATACTGGTAGGGGCTCAATTCTTCCAACAGCTCCAGAAGACTTAACTTGTTAAGACTTTGGCTGAGATCTGAGAAAGTCTGAAGCATTTTTCTGAGATGCCAGAAGTGAGGGCTTTTTTGCATTCTAATCTTCTGACACAGATTTTTCTCAGATCTAATATCTGCCATTATTTATACAGCTCTGTTGGTATGTGAGGCATTCTGCAGGCTAGAAAGAAGTCAAGAACCATGCTCTGAGGAGTTCATCATCTAAAAAACTGGCATATAATTTAATGAGCAAGGACAAAAGAAAACAAGTTAAATAGAAAATCGCTCCTGGGAAAGTTCCACTGTTTATTTTTAATCACAAAGAATACAGATCATTCAGGCTGCTTCTGTTTCAGATTTATTTCTTTTTTGAATTATTAGATGTACAAGAGAGAAAGGGGTCACACGCGGTGACCAAAAGTTCCCTTGGAACGATGAAATAGGAACTACAAAGGGAATAAAAAATTTTGGAACCAAACCCTCTTACTCTCCTGCTCTGCCTTTCCTTTGTGTTCCTGAAGAAGAACAAACCAGGAGATTTCAAAAGGAAAGCTTTATATTTCCTGAAAATCGGGGTATCTTCAAGGTAAATTAAAGCCCACCCACCTACCTTCAAGGTAATGTAAAGCTCCCTCCTACCTTTCCTAAGTGAGGTTGTAGGACCACCTTCAAGTACTCTAATGTGTTTGGCCCTGTAACCACCTAGGACCAGGGCAGCTCACATGTAGATCCCAGCATATTACTCCTTTCCATCCCACTTGACATTTTTTCCCTCATTCTCTTGCAACTCAGCCTACATTTAGCAAACACATACACACTATCAAGTTTTTCCCTGCCTTTGCACTCAGTGTTGTCCCCACAGAAGGAGACACAGATTTCTCTGGCCACTATATTCTGAGTAACTCAATTAGTCCTGAAATGCAGATCAGGGAGCACTGTATATTTTCTCTCTCTCATTTATAACATTTGTAGATACAAAAAAAAAAAAAAAAAAAAAAAAATTCTCTGGCAATTCTCTGCTGATCATTAGCTACACATAGGTTATACCAATGCATGTAAAAGCCTGTTTATTTTATAAATTACAGCTATAATTTTATTTAAAGAGAAATGACTGTCAAAGAAAACAGAAAAACGGCACATCTGTTAGAGGTATGCAAGATAATGCTTAAACTACCAGTGAGGTTCTCCTTATCTACCCTGATTCTGGTTGAACCAGATGATCCTTGAGGTCCCTTCAAACCTGACATTCTATGATTTTATGATTCCCAATGCAAGAACAGGGAATACAGCTAAATTACAGGCCAACGGATTTACGTATCTGGAAGCCAAAACAAAGAAAGTAAGTAAAAAAAAAAACCAAACATACAGAACAAAGCCACATTTGCAAGACATTTCCAAGAATCATATGGAATTCAATAGTAAAAGGAATATCTGAAGTTAAAAGTGGAAAGTGGTATCAATTCTTTCAGCATTAAAGGATAAATCGGGGAACAAAGAAGAGTTTTCTTCTCCTGGACTGTATATACTGTCCTGTTGCATATATAATTTGTCCATTTTGATATGAATATGTCTCCTTTCTGTATAGTTATGTTACTTTGGTAGGGAAGGCAATGGAGGAAGTTGTCTTGACTTTGGTATGAAAAATCTGAAATCTTCTTTCCAAGGTGGAAGTTAACCACAGCCCTTCAGCCTGGTAAAACTAACATGAATGTGAGTCAGTAACATGCTGTGACTCAAGGTGCTGAAGACACTTTGCCTGTTAAAGACTGGAAGATTCACTTCTAAAATGGAGAAAATCACTAATGCAATTCAATATTAGCTTTCAATTAGCAGATGTAGCTTTTGATATACATCATGAAGCTGGGTTTGTTAAACTTTAAATAGAAAGAGCTAATGAACAGTGAATAAAAAATTGCTGGTCTGTGTTTGCTTTCTTTGCCATGTCCTAAAGGTAGTCTCTGATTTTGCACATAACGTGTTATCAATTGATGGCATACGATCATCAGTTGGCCAGAAGCCTTATGACAAGAGCACATTGGTCTTTACCAATACACATAAAAGAAAGAGGTTGATTATGATCCGACCTCAATCTCTGTGAATTGGTACAGACAACTCAGCACTGATTTGTTGGGCAGCAGACTAAGGAATTTGAAATAGCACACGTTAGAGCAGGACAGTACTCCGCACATGTACACTTTTACTTGTGTGCAATGAAAAAAATGAGCTCCTCAGAACTCATTTTGCATAGAGGTAAAGGCTGCTTCACCTCCACTCACATCAGATTTGAGGCTGATGACTCTCTCAAACATGATTTTCCTGATGAAGCAGAGGAGATTTTCCTGTTCCTGTATCTGTTATGTTTCCTCCAACATGATTTGCAGACCAGCAATTATAGTGTCTCCTATTGCTGTTTTTTATATCATAGAATTTGAAAACAATCTAGTTAAGGACACAGACAAAAAACTCTGAGAGAACTGGGGACAGAAGACATATGCCAGATTTTCTCAGATAATGAGCTTTTAAAGCTCATTTCTTGGTATAAGAATTCTATATCAAAAAAGAAGTTGTCACTTTTTCCTTTCTTGTTATAGCAAAAAGAGTGTTTTGAACATGCAAAGCCTTAATATTGGAATTGCACCAGGAAACAAAGCCAGGAGAACTGGCTAGGAAATAGGTGCTCTAAAAAAAGTGGCTAAATCCAAGATGGCAGTGGCTGAGGGACAAAACACTGGAGATTACAGGGTTGTTGCAGTATGAAAGGCCCCATGAAACACAATGAATCTCTGACAAGTGGTTGTTTTTTTTGTGGTTGTTTTTTTTTGTTTTTTTTTTTTAAAGCCAGCTCAAAAACTTTCCAGAATATGCTTCTACTTTTGCCTGTTTTGGAAACAACTAGAGGGCAAATTAAGGGCAACTCTCTTCTAGAGAGATGCATTCTCCAAACAGGGCTGTTAATATTAAAGCATCCCTAGTGTCAAGTCTGCAAGTCTGAAGCCACCCTTGTGAAGGAATGATACGCTAACAAAAACATCGTGTCAATTATGTCCTGTGCCCAGTATTAGGAGAAGCAAGTGCAGCCTCTCAAAGAGCTTCCATAAAGTGTTCTTTTTCTGCAGTTTTAGACACAATTACATTGCAGTAAATATATATATTTTTGAGTTTTATAAATAAATTACATGATAAAACAATCTCCATAAAGATGCTAGAAGGCACCACACGAGTTCCATGGAACTAAGAATAAAGAATTATTCTTTCTTTCTTCCAAACAATAGCAGCATGGTCTCTAAATTCATTTGCACACTTGTTCTTTCTCTTACCAGCTGTTGCCCTTTTGGACCCCAACCAGCATACTGAAGCTTTGCATTGCTGACCTCAGGGGGATACAAATTCTGGGGATCCCTGCAAAAAGAGAAAAGTAAGATTTCAGCTTCAGAAATGTTCTTATTTAAGCTGATGCACATCTGCTTTGGAAATTCACCATGACCTAATAAGGCGTCTTTCAGCTGGAATCATCTAATACTTAGTGCCAGATTTCAGTAGGGTTTTTTTATCGTAAGGTTAGCACAATACCACTAGCAAGCATTGGTAAAATCAAGTATTTATTTAACTCAGAATTTCTGTTTCCTGTTAATATGAAGTTAAACACATTAGTTCCAGTGCTGACTTGCCTAAGCCTTAAGAATTAGTCAAGGGATGGCAAACAAAGTAATTGTATTTATTAACGCTGATGATGTCCACAAAGGATAAACAATAATTATATTTTTGAATCACACTGACACAAGAAAAATACAATTTAATCTTCTTCACCCTACGGCTTCTCTGGCTAATACTTTTCCTTTGAACATGACCTCAGAAAAGTTTAGCAACTGTATAACATCTGATATGCATCCTGGATTTGAAGGGAAAAGCTCCTGGTAATACCAAATATCTTTTTTTTTTTTTTTTAATAAAATCAAAATGCTTTTCTTGTTGTTTCATCCATTACCTTCGTTTTGTAGCAGAAATCAGTAAGACATAGCAAATGCAATATAGAAAGAAGAGGCTTTTTTGGGTAAATGTCAGAGCAGCATAATGTCATTGTCTCACCAGCATTACCTTCAGCGTATTTATACTCAGCACAAATAATTATATTACACATTCTGAAGTCACGTTGCTACAACTTTGTATACAAGAACACTACAAACAAGAACTCTAATGCAGCCTATATACAGTATGCCTCACTAGCAGACCTCAACTGCTTTAAAAAGTGTATTATCATCACTTGTCTATATACAGGAATAACAAGGTGATCTGAGCCATCACCCAAAACGAGAAAAAAGCCAAAGCCTGACCAGTCTTTAAGCAAAAGGCCTTCTCTTCTTGTACAGAGTTTATTTCTTCATTAAATGCAATGCTTTCCACATCACATTTTCAACACAGAACAAAACTGAATGCAATAACTGGACAGTAACAAAATTATTTTTATTGCCTGTTTTGTGACCTGGTGCTGTACCAGAGTTGCACTCCAGCCCTGCCCTTTCAGGCAATAACTCTCTTGGCTGCACGTTCCTGCTGCACTGGGGCTCCTTACATATACTAAGTCCAAAGACAACAGCAAGAGGAATGTTTAGAAATTTGTTTTGTGCAGTCCTCCCAAGGTGGAAAAACTAGCTTATGTTTGTGAATTTGTGTTCAAAGCACAGCCAGAATGAGGGCAGACCCTAGATGGAGACACTGATGCCTGCAGCTTCATCCTTCCTTAACTCCTGCAGTTGGAACAGCAGCTTCTGCTCTCGTGCTAGGTAGTGCATACCAGTGCTTATAAACCACAACCCATAATGTCTGTCAGAACCCTTGAAAGAGGTCTGTGGAGCCAATTAAAAATAAACTGCTCAAGATGACAGGTTTAATGCAGACAGGATCATTTAGGGATGTGGAGGAGCAAAAGTGGTTTGTTGAGGCACTGACTCTTCAAGTCTGAGAGCACTGCAGCATGCCCAGGTAGCTTTTGGCTGTATGGGAAAGTGTCATCCACAACTAATGCCAGTGCAGTAAACCTGTATCTTTTCTTCTCATGGCTTTTAACCAGGTGTCTTTATGGGTAGCCTCAAGTCCTTTTAGTAAGGTATGGATAAGAAAACACACAACTCTCATACTGAATGCCTCCTAACAACAGCCACAAAATTCCCATTTCATTAAGAACAGCAATACAACTTCTGGATCTTTTCAAGCTTGTATACATAAGCTACTTAAGCTGCAAGTCAAGTTTTCATGTTAAGACTCAGTCTCTTTGGTTAACTATCTCCATTATCTTAACAGAGAGTAACCTCCGAGTGCAGAGGGAAGAAAGAAAAATAGTGAATCAAATTCAAGCTTCTCATGGAAGAAAAAAATGTACTTCACAATTTGTTAAACTATTTACTTCTTAGGGTGGTTTTTTTTTTTTTTACAAATAGAGGGGGAAATATTATCCCTGAATAATCAGATTCCACAAATAGTAAGAATTCAAACCTGTAATGCTTCAGATAACACAGGTAGAACTAAGGGACAGAGACACCAATTACTGCCAATAATTCAGACCACAGCCCAGACAAGCCCTGTCAGTTCTACTCAGTGCATCCTCTTTTAGCAGAGGAGAAGTAATACAGTGAGAAATGCTGCATAAACCAACTTTGGTTGCTGGAAAAACAGAAGGAATAGCACTCCATCTGATCTACCAGCAAAGAGCTTTGCTGCAGAAAAAAAAAAAAAAAAAAAAAAAAAAAAATCAAAGTTATCTTCTCCTTCATTTGGTGTGGCTGAGGAAAAATAGAATTGCATCTATTTGAGCTCCTCCTTAAGTTGTTCAGAATGGCTGGGAAACTTCTTTTGTAGCAAAATCCTCTTTATTTGCCTTGAAACCTTTTGATAAATATGCGTCTAGAAAGGCTGACTGATAGAATTGTGCATTGTCTGGAGGTCCCTGATTTACAAACCTAGTTACCATAGACTGCCTCTATGTTCAGCAATAACAGCTTGTACATCCAGGTTGTGATGTAGACCACTGCAGGCAGGCAGGAGCTAGCCCAGCATCTTCATGCTGTGAGTGATTCTTTTCTACCACAGGCTATGAAAGCAGTCAAAGATGCTAGTTTCCCACAAACACTCTTGAGAGATGGACGTTTTCCTCTTGGTAGATTTTGGCTCGTTCCTCATCTCTTCTGAAGAGAATCCTCTTCCCCAGTGTAGCAACATTCATTCCTTCACCTGCAGGCAACCTCAGTGTCATGTGCAAGGGGATTGAGGAGACATCCTGCCTTGCCAAGCCTCACCTAGCACTTCAAAGAAACTGCAGGAATGATCCAGAGAGGGTCTATCAACAAGCCTGAGGGTGGCATGAAAACGGAGTTCACCTACTTTGTGAAATCTGCTGTGAAAGACCAGATTCCCACATGCTTATTTGGACTATGTTGGATGCATGGCCTGCAGTGGAATACATTTGGACTCTCTCCCTGGAAGCCCCAGGAAACCTCTTTATAAAATCACCTATAGAAAGGAGTTGTCTACACAGCTGTTTCAGATGGGATGGCCACAACCCTCTGATGATCTCCCAGGAAAGCTCTTAGTGATCTTCAAATTGAAAAACCTGTATAGAGAGCAGCTGTCAAACAGACTTCCAATTATCTCATGCTGTTCTGGACTTTTAACTTTCCTTGATAAAAAAACCTTAAGGGAGTCAGACCAAATGCACACCTATATCCCAGGAGCACTTGAACATTTTCCACGTGCTGCATAAATGGGATCTCATGCCAGTCAGCTCCTTCTGGGAGGTATGTTATTGCTGATAAGCTATAGTTCTCCACAGATACACCCTTGCTTCTCCTCCACAACAGACTCCTTAAAATCCCTCTATTTTTTTTTTTTTGAATCAATCAATATTATGGGTCATCTGAGCCTCTCCATAGAGCCAGTGCTCCTCGCAGACCTTCATAATTAGGACTTGTTTGGATCTGATCCTTCCCCTTGTGAGCTCATTTGTGCAGGATGCTGGCTTGGAAATGGGCTATTCTGAAGGCAGTCTGTATATCTCCTGTTACTGGTTTGCATGAAGAGCTAGGTTCACTGCACCCTCACACCATTTTCACTGTTTCCTTATGGAAAAGAACCTTAATCTTCATTTCCAGCCCAAGAAATGGGAAAGCCTTACTAAAGGGTAGCTGTTATTTCTTCCATCTCTGAAAATTATTGATTTTAAAGCATCACAGAGAGAATAATAATGTTTTTTTAAGCCAGCCAGAAGATGGAGCAGGTGCTGTATGAACTGTTCCATGTTAGAATGACATTGTCTGGACCAGAGGCTGTTAAATTGCTCCAGACGTGGGCATGATTTCAGCACAATGTTCAAAAAACATTACCAAAGTAGTAAATTGTAAAATTTGCTCATTTAGATGAAGCCTTCTGGCAAAAAGTGTCCCCTCAATATTTCTGAATAAGGAAAATTCCTGAGTGCAATTAGCATGCTGTCTGCCACACAATTTTGGCTTGTAATTTAGCTCATAACATACACGTAGAACAAAACAAAATAATCAGTCATATCTGGTTGCTTAGTTTTGACCTTAGAAATAACTGTGATTAATAAGGAACCAGTTTTAAAGAGATAATGTATTGGTTTTGCTGGAATTTTTAGATCTATGTGTTCCCTCTTGTGACATTTCCTCCTATTCTACAGACCAGTTTCCCTCAGAGTCTTCATGGCACTGAGCCTCCCCCTGAGCACAAACATGACAAACTGTTCTATATTAAGCTCTTCAAAAGCAACTTAAAAAACAATAGAATTTTTCTACTGTTAATGAGGGAGAGTCTCCTCTTACTTCAGGAAAATATTTTACAATGTCAGACTGAAAAAGTCTGAAACTGAAAAAAGCAGTCAAAGTCTGTGGCACAGTATAAGCTGTTCTAGGGTCTTCTAGTCTCTAATAACTTTGAATTTTTAAGGCAGAACAGGATTTGTATGGAAATTCCTTGCACTTGTGAGCAAAAATACAACAATTTGCACCACAAGTTATTCTGATATGTCAATCCTGTAAACAAAAAAACCAAAACTATGTACATGAACTGCAGTGAGAGTGAGTTCTTAAAAACTGAACCCCCTTGTTTTACTATACCATAACTTTGGGAAATATAGAACATATATTAATATTTCAGTAGTGTATGCAAAGAAGTTGAAGAAGTAAAGACAGTTAAAGAGAACAAGTATGTAGAGGGCAGAAATATCCCCCCTTGTTATTTGCATCAAGCCATCACGAATTATTTTGAAAGACAACAGCCCTAATCACAGTACTTTATGGCTTTTCAATGGTTAACTATTAAAAACTATCTACCTATCTAAACTATCAGCCTCAGCACCAGAACTTGGTGTCTTCACGTCTACTACTAATAGC